CCTGCAACAGCTTTGTCAGGGTGAAGTTCATCCATAAATAAAAAAAAGGTACAATACCGTGACGAACGATACACAAATAACCTGCATAGAAGAGAGGCACTTACGACGACGTTTCGGTCCGAATTGGACCATTTACAAAGTCATACACCATAAATGTTTGCACCTCAGTCCACTTTGCACAAATGTCCTTAATCTTTGAAGAAGGCACCTTCCTCCATCTCTCTTCCTCCTCCACTGAAGCAATTTCCTGAGCTGTGGTCTGTTGCTGTTGCAGGTGAAGGTTTTGCAGCTCTTTAGTGATTAGCTCTTCATCGTGGTCTTCCACGATGAAACCACTAACCTCCAACCCCATGGGCTTCCCCAATGCCACAGTAGATTCCACAACTGGCATAGGCTCCTCAGGGTTAGCCCCAAACCCTTCAAACTCCCTCTCTTGTACACATTGCGGCCACAATTTTCTCCAAGCAGAGTTCAAGGTTCTGCAAGTCACTCCCTCCCAAGCCTTACCTATAAGGTTTATGCAACTGAGGATACTGAAGTGATCTTTCCAGAGCTCTCTTAGGGTCAGGTCAGTGTCTGAGGTCACTTCAAAGCACTTTTGAAACACTGCTTTGATGTACAGTTCTTTGAAGTTTGAAATGACCTGCTGGTCCATGGGCTGGAGGAGAGGAGTGGTATTAGGGGGCAAGAACTTCACTGTGATGAAACGTAACTCCTTCACCATTTGCTCTTCCAAGTCTGGAGGATTTATTTTCCAGGAGGTATTTCTTCACACTGGGGCCAAAAACTTCATTGAACCAATCAAGGAAAATGTCCCTCGTGACCCATGCCTTACTGTTTGCTTTCCATATCACACACAATTTACTCTTGGCGACGCTTTTTTGTGAACACTCTGGGATGTTCAGAGTGATACACCAGTAAAGGCTTCACTTTGAAATCCCCATTAGCATTACTACAGAACATGAGAGTTAGCCAGTCTTTCATAGGCTTGTGTCCTGGTAGTACCTTTTCCTCCTGTGTGAAGTAGGCCCTCCTTGGTATTTTCTTCCAAAAGAGGCCTGTTTCATCACAATTGAACACTTGCTTGGGTTTGAATTGTTTAGCCTCTATGTACCCCTTGAATTCCTGAGCATATTTTTCAGTCGCATTTTTGTCAGAACTGGCAGCCTCATCATGCCTTGCCACGCTGTGTATGCCCCTATGCTTCTGAAATCTCTCAAACCAATCTTTGCTGGCCTTAAATTCACTAACATCAGCACCTGTTGCAGGCATTTTCTTCACGATCGTCATGCAACTGCCTTGCCTTTAAACAAATTGTTGACTGCATAACACTATCTCCTGATAATTGTTTCTTGGTGATCTACACCAATAACAGTCTCCACATCTTCCAGCATTTGTGATCTCTGTTTCGTACCTTTCGCAGCAGCTTCCTTGATTTTCTTTTTCTTGGCCACGATAGAACCGATGGTTGTATGGAGTTCGTTATACAACCTGGCCAGCACTGTGACACGTACTCCACTTTCATATTTTGCAATGATGTCTTTCTTGAATTCTGTAGTGTTTCTCGCCCTCTTTACCAAAGGGCTGGCACTAGAAGCTTTCTTTGGGCCCATGGTGGCTTATTAATAGTTACAAGCACTAAAAAGAATGGAATAATACAAAATGTATTGTATGAATGTGTGGGATCGTCTTCACTGGCTGATAAACAATGGCACACTGGCTGTAAATGGTGTGTCGGGCCGCTCGGACCTTGAGAACACGTTCGGGATGAATTACGTACTATTACCGAGTTCACTGACTATCACCAAACGAATACAGTGGACCCCCGCATAACGATCACCTCCGAATGCGACCAATTATGTAAGTGTATTTATGTAAGTGCGTTTGTACGTGTATGTTTGGGGGTCTGAAATGGACTAATCTACTTCACAATATTCCTTATGGGAACAAATTCGGTCAGTACTGGCACTTGAACATACTTCTGGAGTGAAAAAATATCGTTAACCGGGGGTCCACTGTACTTGACGAAAAAACTTTACTTATTCCGAATATTATGTAATCTGACGATGACGTAATCCAGGGGTCCACTGTAATCATTAAAGCCTTAGCATCTGGTTCACTGGTTGGGAGGCAGCCTATATGGGAGTGCGAGATACGCTGAATAAATTGTAACATACTCTTTGCATTCCACAAGGTCTTTGTCTCCTCTCGTTTCAGTGAATCTATTTGAATAGTATAGTTTACCTGGAGTTTACCTGGAGAGGGTTTTGGGGTCAATGCCCCCGTGGCCTGGTCTGAGACCAGGCCTCATGGTGGACCAGGGTCTGATCAACTAGGTTGTTACTGCTGGCCGCATGCAAGCTGACACACAAACCACAGCCTGGCTGATCAGGTACTGACTTTAGGTGCCTGTCCAGTGCCTTCTTGAAGACAGCCAAGGGTCTATTTGTAATTTCCTTATGTATGCTGGGAGGCAATTGAACAGTTGGGGGCCCCGGACACTTATTGTGTTGTCTCTTGAAGCACTCGTGGCGCCCCCTGCTTTTCATCGGGGCAATGTTGCATCTCCTGCTGAGTCTTTTGCTCTCATAGGGAGTGATTTTTGTGTGCATGTTTGGTACCAATCCCTCCAGGACTTTCCAAGTGTATATTATCATGTATCTCTCTCGCCCGCGTTCGAGGGAATACAGATCAAGGACCTTCAACCGTTCCCAATAGTTTAAGTGCCTTATCGTACTTATGTGTGCTGTGAAAGTTCTTTTTATACTCTCCAGGTCTGCAATGTCGCCAGCCTTGAAGGGGGCCGTTAGTGTACAACAGTATTCTAGCCTAGAGAGCACAAGCGATTTGAAGAGAATCATCATGGGCTTGGCATCCCTAGTTTTGAAGGTTCTCATTATCCATCCTATCATTTTCCTAGCAGATGAGGTAGATACACTGTTGTGGTCCTTGAAGGCGAGATCCTCTGACGTTATCACTCCCAGGTCCTTCACATTACTTTTCCGCTCTATTGTATGGTTAGAATTTGTGGTATACCCTGACACATTTTTAATTTCTTCAAGTTTCCCATATCTGAGTTGCTGAAATTTCCCCTTGTTGAACTTCATATTGTTTTGAGTGGCCCATTCGAAGATTTGGTTGATGTCCGCTTGGAATCTCAGTGTCTTCGATGGAGGTCGCTGCCGTGGTAATCCAGGTGTCTTCCGCAAAGGAAGACAGCTATGGCTTACATCTCCGTCAGAAATGAGGATGAGGAATAGAATGGGAGCGAGTACTGTGCCTTGTGGAACAGAGCTTAAACTTTCTGATTAATTTGGTGGGAACTGACGTATAGTGTTTGATAAATTGTCTAGTTATTAAGCCCCTTCTATGTTGTTTCTCATATTAATGTTTTGTATTGATGGACCTTAGGATGCTGTTAGTAAGCCATGGGCAACTTAGTATTTTATGGGTGATCTGTTTAGTTTTTGATGGGACAATGTTTGTTATTGTAATTGTTTTATATGATGGTAGGATTGCTGGTGTCTTTTTTCTGTCTGATAAACATGCAAGATTTCAGGTACATCCTTCTACTTCTACTTACACTTAGGTCACACTACACATACATGTACAAGCATATGTATACACACCCCTCTGGGTTTTCTTCTATTTTCTTTCTAGTTCTTGTTCTTCTTTATTTCCTCTTACCTCCATGGGGAAGTGGAACAGAATTCTTCCTCCGTAAGCTATGCGTGTTGTAAGAGGCGACTAAAATGCCGGGAGCAAGGGGCTAGTAACCCCTTCTCCTGTATAAATTACTAAATTTAAAAAGAGAAACTTTTGTTTTTCTTTTTGGGCCACCATGCCTTGGTGGGATGCTGCCAGTTTGTTGAAAAAAAAAAAAAGAAAAATGTTTGTTATATAGTCTTTGAATTATAGTCTTTGAATTTTATTTATCTCTACTCATTCATCAATACCAGCAAATGAATGGAGAAAGACAGTAAGTACTGGAAAAATTGAGGAAATGATAAAAGTAAGGTGCTTAAAAATCCAGTACCAGCAAGCATGTTAATTAGTGACTTTTGGTATTTCACATTTTGTTGAAGTATGAACGTGCATATAATTTTGGTTTAGAGTAAACTGGTTTGTTGTACTTATGGATGTGGGTAGTTGCTACCTGCAATTTACAGTTTTAGGCAAGCTTTAAGCTGTGGAACTTGTTGGGAACAAATCTCAATAAAATTTTCATATTTGTAATTGAAGCCTGTTTTTGAGTGTTTATAAACAGTTTGCTTATAAAACCAAATTGATAATTTTTAAAGTTTTGATGGCAGTTGCACTTTCACATATTTTAAACATAAGTCTAAAATAGTATGCAATATACTATTTCCAAAGATGATTAATAAGTATTTTGAAAGCATTTAGATAGAAATAAGATAATATGTACTGTACTTTGGATAAATTGGCAAATGTTAATTTTTTAGTACAGCATTAAGAAAGTGTATAGGTAATACTAATAATAATCTTTTTCTATAAGTACATGTACAAGGTATACAGACCTAGCTGACATTCTATATACAGAGCCCCTTGTTATGCAGAGCATTTCGGGCAAATAAAGCCAATTTTGTTCCAAGGATGTGACCCACACCAGCTGGCTAACACTTGTGTAACTATTTTACTGATAGGTGAACATGGACAGCAGGTGTTTTAAAGAAACGTGTCCTAATGTTTCCACCCATACTGAGGATCGATCTCTGGACCTCAGTGTGTGAACTGAGTGCGCTAGCAGTCAAGCTACAGGACACCTAAATGATTGTGTACTGTATGAATTAATAAAGTAAATAGTTAAACTTCTTGAATATAAGTGGATAGGTATGTAAGGAAATAATGTAGGAAACTTAACCTAGACAAGAAAAGATAATTTGCTTTTACTAAGAGCAAACTGGAATAATAGAATTAATAAGACTAACTTTAACTTGGGTTTATAGATTGAAGGTGATTGATATTTCTTTAATTTTCAGTCTTCTTACAATACCAGAGCAAGCTGAAAAATTATCTCAGAAGCACAACTTTGAAATAAAGGGATACCAGATTAGTGCAGCCAAGGAAGATTTAACCTCTCCAAGGTAAGCACATGTCAATGAATTGCCCAAAATTTGGGGAATAACTGGAATTTGATGTATGGGGAGGATTAAAGTTTTAAGTTGGAGAACCCCTAAAAAAAAAAAAAAAAAAAAAAAAAAAAAAAAAAAAAAAAAAACAACTTGGTGTGGTATATTGTTTTTTCTTTGATTGGAACATAATGACAGGGTGAAACAAAATTTACAACTTATTTTTCTGGATCCCTCTAAAAATTATATACAATATATCATGTGTAATCTTTTTCTTTAGAATTGTACGTGTAGGTATAACTCAGCATTCCATAGTAGCTGAGACAACAGCTCCAGTTTCTGCACAGCGTGCTGCTATTCATGAGAAAATTACTCTGATGACTGAAGCTGCAGCTCTTTGTGGTGTTAATATACTTTGCTTCCAAGAACTTTGGAGTAAGTCCATATCTATCAATATTTGGAATAATTTTTAAAAATTATTGTAATTATAATTATTTAAATTTTTTGTTCTTACAAATGGAATATTGCCTGATTGTCTACTGTTCTTAAGCTGAAAAAATTATGAGATAGTAGTGTCATTATATGAGCTTATGCTTTCATTAATTTCTTCCATCTAGCTATGCCATACTTTTTCTGCACAAGGGAAAAGCAACCTTGGTGTGAATTTGCAGAATGTGCAGTCTCAGGACCAACTACACAGCTTTGTCAGGAGGTATTTTTTTTTTTTCTTTTCTGGGTACTTACTCCTCATGATCATTACTAGTATAGGTACCCTCTTTAAGGAAATAGCATCTTAATTCTGGAAAAGAACTTTGATCCAAGAAATTTGAGGAACTTCTCCCTGGATCTAATCTGATTGTTTCACTTTCCCAGGGTGATACATGACCCTTATGGATTTAGTACTTCCCCGTGAATATAATTGTTTTAACTTCAGGTAACATTGATATGCAGAACTTTCCATTCTCGATAGTTTCTTTTTCCAGCTTGCTCGAAAGTACAACATGGTGATTGTATCTTCAATTCTAGAAAGAGATCACACTCATGGTGACACGCTATGGAATACTGCAGTAGTCATTAGCAATACAGGATATTACTTGGGAAAATCCCGGAAAAACCACATTCCCAGGGTGGGAGATTTCAGCGAGTCCACCTACTACATGGAAGGAGACACTGGCCATGTAGTCTTCCAGGTAAGCATTTTGTACTAAAGGTAAATGTCATTGAAACAAAAGCAAATTATAAATATTGATAGTATGCAGCATAAACAGGAATTTGACAAACCTGCACTGTAAGAAAGTATTCATTCCTGGTTCTAATTTTTGTAAGTTTAACTTTTGTATGATCCTTTGTTTTTATAGTTGACTAAAAAAAGTTACTGCTGAAGGGATAACACAATCAACATATTAACTTTATCTTGTTTCAAGCATTTCTAAATGTAGCTGAAATGCTTGCATACTGAATCTACATAAGGCCTCTTCCCTCAAATAGTTACAGTACCAAAGAAAAGCATCTTAAAATTTTCCCCACTGACCAAGTGGTACAATATTAATCACTTGCAACCTTTATAGTTTTCAGTATGATACCTCAGTACTTAAAACTGAAAATATTCTGATATATCCAAATGCTATTTGTTCTTTATCTAGACCCATTTTGGTCGCATTGCTGTCAACATCTGTTATGGCCGCCACCATCCCCAGAACTGGATGATGTATGGTGTAAATGGAGCTGAAATTGTCTTCAATCCATCTGCTACTGTAGGAGGCCTCAGGTTATATGCACCTGCTGTTTGTTCATTTATTATCTGCTCACTTTAGTAATTAATTTATTAAAAAATTGTATATGGGAGGGAGGGGGGTTGAGGAGTTGTGGTGCTGTCAGGATGAGCAGGTAATGAAAAAGGATTCCAGTTATCTGGACTTGTCTAGAGATATGAAGAATGATGCCTGTACTCTGCAGGATGGATTAGGATGTTAGAGTTCAGACAGACCTTTGAATTTTAGTGATTGCATACTTCCAACAAGCTTGTTTGAGCATGCTAATAGGAGCAAGTGGAGGCAAGTGAGCTTTTATGATTGACGTGCTGTTGGAATGTGAGTGAGGTAATGTTTATGAAAAAATTCAGAGAAACCGATTAGCCAGACTTAAAGTCCTGGAAATAGGGCCTGCACTCTGAAGGAGGCCCTCTGAAGAGGGCCATCTGAATTGGGGTGTCATTACCCTTCTTTGAAGTGTGAAACAGTGAATGAATAACATGAAAATTTCTTTTTCAGGTCACCTTACCCTGGTCATTAAAAAATTTCTTGCAAGAGCTATTGAGTAATGGTGATTTTTTTTTGTTTTTTTTTGGGGTGTGCAGTCTTGGTGGGAGACTTTTATCTTTTGTATTTTTATATTCAATTCATTTTGCATAGAATGTACTATAGTGAGGATGATGTCTGTACAGAATTCTACATGGATGTCAATATTATCTAGGTTCATAATCTGAAGTTATTTTTTTCCCTCCAAGTGCTTTAAAATATATTTAGTCATTGGATTTACATAACTTCAAACTGGGATTTTTTTTTTAATTTAAAGCAGAAGTCAGCAGACTTTTTTTGAGTATTACCCCAAAACAAATTTGTGTACAGTGAAATTGCCCACTTGACTAAAAATTATTTGTTTGAAAAAATATTACTTTCATAATTTTCCTCTCTTATTAAATAATAAATTTCTGTGCAATTTCATTTGTTTATTGAGCCTTTATTACCCTGAGATTTTTATTTTTACTCCATTTGGGATACTTTACACCAGTTCTTTGACCTCTGTTTTAAAGGCTAACTATTGTATGCATTTAGTAATGTTTGTCTTGTGATAACCTATTTGACCTAGTTGCCTGAGCAGTTATGCTTGTGGCATCTTCATTGTTTTAACCCTGTTGGTTTCGGTCCTGTTTGAAGCCAGTGTTGGTCCTGTAGTACAACGCCATGAGCTCAGCTCACTTAGATAAGTTGATAGCGGTAAATTTGGGCCTAGATATAAGAGACTAGGTCTATGCGATAAGTGTGCACCATATAAAAAATAATCCTGCAGCATGCAGTACATAATGAGAAATAAAAACTGATTGTATTTGGATTAAAACAGCAACTTTGCAGTGTATTTTCATATGGTCTTTATGGTTGTATTCTCATTTTTTTTTAATCTCTCTTGATAGAATGGAAGATATATTACATTTGATTGGTTTAAGGAAAGAAAATAGCTTGAAATTGAGCTCAAAGTAGCAGAAATATTGAATTTTTGCTGATTCTGGAGTACACAAATGACTTTGCTCGTCCAATACATGTCTAGCTTGCCAGTGTAATGCACATTTAAGAATGCACTGACATTATTTAAAGATAAAGATTTTATTTCTTTGCAAGGTTACAATGTGTATTTACAATTTTGATTAGTTAAGTACAAGGAAAACCACTATCATACCCGGGCATTTTGGGCAGACTTATCTGACTTATCCTAATACATAATAACTACTTAAGTCTAGACAAGATAATTGTGGTTAACTTTTTAATAAATATTTTATCTTAACCCTTAAACTGTCCAAACATAGATCTACGTTCACTCGCATGGCGCTCTGAATATTTTGAATATTTGAATATTTTTTCTTTCAACAAACTGGCTGTATCCCACCAAGGCAGGGTGGCCCAAAAAGAAAAACGAAAGCTTCTCTTTTTAAATTTAGTAATACGTACATGTATATACAGGGGGAGGAGTTACTAGTCCCTTGCTCCTGGCATTTTAATCGCCTTTTACGACACACGTGGCTTACGGAGGAAGAATTCTGTTCCACTTCCCCATGGAGATTTTCTACATGTTATAGGATTCAAAAAAAAATTTAGGGTCAGTACTTACCGAGATATAATACCGTGAAGTTGGCACTGGATGCTCACCTGTTGGCAACATCGACTCCTGCCGCTTGCAGAAGTGTTGCCGATATACCTTTTTTCTCGTTTTTATTTTAATTTATATATTTTTTATGTTCTAATAATTACAATTTATAATTGTTCTTGTAATTTCATAGCCAATCTTTGTTCTGACACTAATATTAGGTACTTAAATAGTACTCAAATAGTCAGTCACTTTGACAGGTGAACATTTACACCTGCCTGGGTTATTTACTATTGTCTAGAAATATATACAAAGTATTTATAGGTCCCAGCAATGTTTTAGATACCCTGGCATATACCTTGAAGCATGGTGTTATGAAAAGCATCCCTATACTTTTGACATCCCAGTAACATTTGATAAATGACCACTGCTCCAGCTAACCCTCCCTGTATATTTGTTATCGCTGTTACACGCAAACATGTCTTGTCTCTATCTGCCTGTCTATCTGTATCTGCCTGCCTGCCTGTCTGTCTGCTTATCTGTCTTTCTGTCTGCCTGGAGTATATGTATATCACAAGCCTTGAAGAATCGTGTTGTGACATCTGTTATCAACTCGGTGACATTTGATAAATGGGTGCTCGGGGAACCCTGGCTTTATTTTTCACTGATACACACAAACATGTTTCTGTCTGTCTGTATGTCTATCTGTCTATATATCTATCTGTCTATCTTTGCCTGGAATTTTTGGGTTATCCTAGGTAATTTACACTATGTATAATAACTGTACTTAGGTGTGCATGTGAGACAGAGATGTAGCTAGACAGAGATGTAGCTAGACAGAGATGTAGCTAGACAGAGATGTAGCTAGACAGAGATGTAGCTAGACAGAGATGTAGCTAGACAGAGATGTAGCTAGACAGAGATGTAGCTAGACAGAGATGTAGCTAGACAGAGATGTAGCTAGACAGAGATGTAGCTAGACAGAGATGTAGCTAGACAGAGATGTAGCTAGACAGAGATGTAGCTAGACAGAGATGTAGCTAGACAGAGATGTAGCTAGACAGAGATGTAGCTAGACAGAGATGTAGCTAGACAGAAGTAGTGTCATCTGGAAATAAAATCGGTTTAAGGAGTTAAGATGGGTTTGGGAGGTCATTGATGTAAATGAGAAAGAGATGTGGGCCAAGGATACTCTGCTGTGGGACTCCAACAAGAACTGCTTGTGTAGTGGAGTTAGCTCCATTTATGTATACACACTGGGTTCTATTGCTAAAATTAAATATTAGATAATCGAGAGTGTCCTCTGACCCCGTAATGTTCAAGTTTTTGGTGCAATAGGTCATGGTCAGCTGTATCAAAAACTTTTCGTAAGTCTATGTAAAGACCCAGGGGAAATTCATTTTTTCGAGTGCCGAATATATTAGCTCAAGCATGTGTAATTGCATCATTACGTATTACTTTTTTTCGGCCTGAATCCAAACTGATGGGTTGAGTATGTTGTGGGATACTAAGTAGGAGTAGACTTGTTTGTGAATTAATTTTTTGAAGATTTTTAGTGGAGGCAAGTTTGATATAGGCCTATAATTGTTCAATTCAGTTGGATTGCCACCTTTGAGGATTGGGGTGACCCTTGCTGACTTGAGTATGGATGGGAAGGTGGAAGATTCAATGGAAAAAGTTACAGTAATTGGTGACACATGAGAAGCTTTTTTATACATGAGTGGTGGTAAGTTATTTAGGTCACCTGTCTTGTTCTTTAGTGTTTTGATGATGAGTGAGATTTCAGTAGGATTTGTTGGGGCTAAAAATAGAATATTTGGGTAGTTGCCAGTGAGGTAGTCTTTTGGTTGAATGTTTAAGTTTGGAATTTTGTTTGCTAGCTTTGTTCCTATGGTCTTGATATATGTCGAGTTGGCAGTATCGGTTGGCTGGAGGAGAGGTTCGTCTGGTTTCGTTCAGTTATTCATTCTATTTTGTGACAGCTTTGTAGATCCTAGAATTTCTGATAAGGTTTTACAAGTCTTTTTCACATCATCTTTTATGTCATGAAATCTGTTTTCATTAGTTTTTTTTTACTTCCTTATTAGATTGCTTAGTATTATCGAGTAAAGTTTTGCCGTATCCTTTGTTATTACAGTGGAACCCCGGTATTCGATATTAATCCGTTCCTGAGAGCTCATCGAATACCGAAAATATCGAAAAGCGAATCAGTTTTCCCCATAAGAAATAATGGAAATCAAATTAATCCATGCAAGACACCCAAAAGTATGAAAAAAAAATTTTACCACATGAAATGTTAAGTTTAATGCAATAGAATAATTACAGTAACAACAATAACAATAGAATAATAACAATAGAATAATTGACACTTACCTTTAATGGAGATCTGGTGATGATTGATGGGATGGGAGGAGGGTAGTGTCGAAGTTGTTACTGCTTAGAAGGGGAATCCCCTTCCATTAGGCCTTGAGGTAGCAAGTCCTTTTCCGGGGTTACTTCCCTTCTTCTAATGCCACTAGGACCAACTTGAGAGTCACTGGACCTCTGTCACACAAATCTGTCCATAGAGCTCTGTACCTCCCGTTCCTTTAAGATTTGTCTTAAATGGGCCACAACATTGTCATTGTAAGTCACCAGCACGGCTTGCAATAGCTGTGTTAGGGTGATTTTCATCCATAAAGGTTTGCAGTTCAACCCACTTTGCACACATTTCCTTAATTTTTGAAGTAGGCACAATGGATTCCACAACTGGCATAGGGTTCTCAGGGTTATCCCCAAACCCTTCAAAATCTCTCTTAATTTCCATACTAATTCTCACCCTTTTTACCACAGGGTTGGCACTAAAAGCTTTCTTGGGGCCCATGGTGACTTATTTTGCAGAAACAAGCACCAAAAACAGTGATAATATGG